TGTCCCGGCCAGAGCGGGGCTCAGAAAGCAGCGAGGTCACGGGGACAAGTGTGTGACAAACCTGTGGCGGGGGGAGAAGCGGCGCTGCCGAGGCTTCTGTGCTCAGAATGTTTCTTGTACTAGTTCAAGGTCAAGTTCCCGCCGAGATGTCCTGCCAGCAGAACCAGCAGCAGTGCCAGCCCCCGCCCAAGTGCGTCACCCCCAAGTGCCCCCCAAAGAGCCCAGCGCAGTGTCTGCCTGCGACCCCCTCTGCCTGTGCTCCCAGCTCTGGGGGCGGCTGTGCTCCCAGCTCCGAGGGCGGCTGCTGCCTGGGCCACCACAGGCACCGCAGGTCCCACCGATGTCGTCGCCAGAGCTCCGACTCCTGTGACACCGGCTATGGTCCGCAGTCCGGGGGCTCGGGCTGTGGCCAGGGCTCAGGGGGCTGCTGCTGACCTGGGCTCCGATGCTGGGACAAGCGACTTAGAAGAGACACGAAACCAAAAGGCTGAGGGACGGCCCCAGCAGGACGCATCCTGTCCCGACGCCCCGTTCCGTCCCCCCCAGGCCGAGCTGAGACGTCCCCAGGAGGCCTCCCGGTGCGGTCTGATCCACGACCTCACAGTCTCCCCGCCCCCGCCCCACACCTGCCAGCGGCTGGCAGTGCCTGTATCTGACCCTGCGAAAAAATAAAGCTTTCTTCTTCATGACCACAGCGGCGCATGCATCATTTCCCTCTATCCCTTTCCAGGGGGCTGGACGTGCGTGCGTTCACCTGTCCCTCTGGCCCGCATTGCCCTGCAGCGGGCATAGACTCCTGGGCCTCGGCTGGAAGACACAGAGCCAGGCGGTGGTTCTTCCGCTGGCCTAGGAGGCAGTGGGGAGGGAAGGGCGCCGGGCGAGGCCTGTGCCCATCGTGCAGGAATGAGCGTCCCTGGGAATCGGGGCCGATCCTCACACGTGGGCTCCCGGGCCTGTGGGCACCTACTGTTTGCTGTTTCCGGCATCCCTGTTAAGAAAGTAAGACTGTATGTAGCAGGCAATTATCAGAAAACAGGCAGTTCTCAACCAGGGGCCATGTGTCCTTCCGAAGGACATTTGTCGAGCTCTAGAGACATTTTGGCTGTTTGTAGATACTGCTGGCACCCGGTGGACAGAAGCCCGGGATGCAGCTAAGCACAGCACGATAGCTGATAGGAACTCATCTCATTTTCTACGCAACCTGTAAGAATGATGCTGTTAACAGCCCAGTTTTACAAATGGGGAAACTGAGGGTCCAGTCATATGAGGACCGAGGCCATACGGCCAGCTACATGGCGTGGCTGTCGGGCTGCTGAGGCCATGCTCTCGGCCACCTTGTCACTTGATTCGCTTCTGAGGTCTTTGAAACAACGAGGGTTTTTCTACTTAACATTTTTTTGGTCCTGTTTAACTTTATTGTGTTTATTTTATTATTATTATTATTTTTAAAACAAACAAACAAACAAACAAAAATCTGAGGAGCTAAGAGCCCGACCATGGGAATTTTAATTTCAGTAAAACTTTATTTTTTAAAAATTTAGTCTCCCATATTTGAGACCTAAAACATAAGAGGGGCTCGATCTCCCCCAGCTCGAAATCATCTGCTGAGCCATTACCCTCGCTCCCTCTGCCACCCTCGCTCCCTCTGCCAGCCTCGCTCCCTCTGCCAGCCTGTTGAAGGTCAGGCACGAAAAGGCTGTCGGTCCATCCAGCCCACCCAGGTGGCTCTCGGGCCACACCAAAGGGCCATCAGGGAGCCCGAGCTAAATTCAAATGGAAAACTTGGGAGAAATCAGAGTGGGGATGGATATACAACGCAATAAACAAACAAAGAAACAAGCAAAGAAATAAAGAAATGATCAATCAATCGATCAACCCAGTGTAGCGCTTTGGGAGTTCATTGAATCAAAAAACATGGTGTTTTTGTCCTTGGGAAACATCAAACTGGTATTTCGACGGTCCGGCAGACAGACCGTAAATCCAAACCCACCCGCTCCATCGCTCAGCGAGGATTTGTGTGGCCCTCATCTCGGTATTTGGATTGGTGGGGAACGAGACAGGAAAGCCTGCTCTCGGGGAGCTGCCATCCCCGTGGGCCCTTTGGGGGAGGGCTATGATTTCCTCAGAAGACAGCAGATGTAGACAAAGGCGGGTGTGTATTCGATTGGCTTCTCATCCTTGGGCATTGCGTAGATTCTGGTAAAGGGCTGCTATACCCAGCAAAGACACCGTCATGGCACAATTTTGAGAATGGATATTGTCGGTTTGGCAGTGACAAAAAGGATATGTAGTGTCTGTTGCTTCCACACCCTAGGTAAGAGCTCAGGAAGGCAAGAGGATAGATGTTTAAAACATGGCCTGTCCTCATCTCTTTTCCTGCCTTCTGCACTCAATCCCCAAGTCTCAGTAAAAAACCACATTCCCTCAGGCATCTCGAAGGTGCCTGAGTTTTCTACTTGGCCACGATATCTGGGAAAGGGAGCCCACGCCTACAGCCTTCCCCGTAGCAAGGTAATCAGATGCACTTGGTGTAATAATAATAAATAATAATAATAATAATTATTATTATTATTATTTATCAAAATTTGTCATTTTAAGATACGCATGAAATGAAAATTATTTGTTCCGTTCTTAGAGATTTTTAACACATCATGATTCAGGGGACAACACAGATCTATCGTCATAACAGATGCAATGAGCAAATGCTCCACAGCTGTTGTAAGTGCACTTCCCACAGCCTCGGTCCATGTCAGGTCAGGTGTTCACAGTCACCATCACTATCAGGTTCATGATCATCACGCCCATCGATCACCATTCACCTCTGGGCGAATCTGTCCTCGGCATCCCAGCCCATCTGAATCACTCTCCTCTCTGAGTTTCTACTCCTGGCTCTCAGAACCAATACGACCGTCACTAAGATACTGACACGATGCTTCTTCGATGTTCCTTAATTTCCAAGGCACGTCGCCACAGCCTTTGTAGGTGTCTTAGTCCATCTCTGTTTTACCTGCGGCAGCTCTGGCTCATTGTGCCTCAGGATGAATAGCTTTTTCTGTCTTCCTCGGCTAACCTCGGCCTTAACACAGATTTTAAGTGAAGGACCGGATTCAACTTTAGCGGTTTGCCTCCAAAGTAAATGCTTTCAATGAGCATATTACTTTGTCCCCAAGGTCTTTGGAGCCTCCAGTGCTCCCCTTACCCCGTTCCCTCCACCTTATCTTGTCCTCCTGGCAGATGCCCGGATGCTTCCTGGGTTCCACAAGCTCCTCTGACTTGCCCCGCCTGGGTTTTCCGTACCTGGACAGATTACAGCTCCACATCCGTGTTCACCTAATGGGCCATCCCAAGTGACATCTGGATGCATCATTCACTCAGAGGTCACTGAAGGGCAACAGGGGACTGACGCTCCAAAACTCTGACCTCAGGCCCGAGGACTCACCCCACCCAGGTGCATCCAGCGACCTCCGCTGGCTCATGCATGTTTCACGACCTGCCCCTCGGCCCCGCCGCCAGCCTGCGGGTAGCATCTTCTCCACGCTCGGGTCTCCGTGGTCCAGCACAGCATGTACTATCTCAACAGAAGTGGTTTGAGAAAATGAATGATTTTTAGGAATAAATGCACGAACATCAAGAACAGCTCCTACGGGAAGACTGAGGGGCCATTCTTTGGGCAGTCTTGGGAGTCCTTCTCTCCTCAAAACTCGAGACGCCCTCCGTGGAGAGGCGAAGGGCCTGAGCCTGGAGATGTAACAAACTGCCCTCTCACTGAGACTCGCCACCCCCGCCATCCCCCGAGCGCGCCACCCACTTCCCGCCCGCGAATCAAAGCGGGACCAGACCTCCGGGTCCGGTCCGTCCTCGCTGGAATCAGAATCCTGCGGTTCAGGTTACTTTCGAGCTCCCTCTTTGCCCAGACGCTTCCTAAGCCATGTGTTCAGCGCCACGAAGCTCCGAAATATATAGGGAAAAAAGCGTTTTTAAGCTGATGAAATTACACGCGATTATTTGCCTTTTCTTTCCTCTACAGTCACCAAATTTCGCTCGCGATGTCCTGGAAGCAAAGGTAGGAGTATCGAGGGTCCCCCCAAG